CTTTTTGCATCTTTTTGCTCCAATGACTATAATTCATCATACATGCAACAAAATATCAAAAATATTTTTCTTTAAAGTGTAATATCATCAAAAATAGTGTAAAATAAATATTAAAATCTCAACATATTTTCTTTTGGTCAGTTGTCAGTTACTATTGTAGTTGTCCCCTACAGTTTATGTGGTCAACTATTGTCGTTGCAGTCTCCTACTATTGCCTTCATTCGCAACTACTATCATTATAACTTTTCATTATGATATATGTGATCAATTATTGTTACTACAGTCTATATGATCCATTGCTGCTCGTATAGCCTTCCACTACATCCTATCTACCAATTAACACTCTTACATTGATCCATTATGGTCTATATGCCCAATTGCTATTGTAGCTTATCATTAAGATCTACGTGACAAATTGATGTCATTACAATCTTCCAGTACTAATTATGAGGCTAATTGACTCTTATTGTGACTCACTACGGTTTATGTGACCAGTTAATATTAACCTTAGTGGCTAGATGATTTTCTTTCAGTAACTCACTAAGGTTTATGTAGGGGTGCAGGTGAGTCGTGTCGGCTCGCAACTTTGATTGAGCGCGGCTCTTTAACGAGCTCATGAGTCAAGTTTATCTAGCCATGAGCTTGAGCTCAAATGAACTCTTTACTTAAATGAGTTCGAGCTCAAGCTCTTTCCGGCTCGGCTCACTGGTTGTCTAGCTCGCGAGCCGACTTGAATTAGCTACTCTCAGTCATTTCAATGCAATTATCAGTAAGCTCTCGCTACCTCCTCTTTCTCATCTGGCCACCAATACCTTCCCCGACTAGATCTCGTGAAAGTGAGTTTTCAATTTGAGCTCACGAACTAAGTTCTACCAGTACGAGCCGAGCTTGAGCTCGACATTTGAGCTCCACTCGAGTTCAAGCTCACAATTTGCCAAATGAGCAGAGCTTTTGTTTGGCATGGCTCGAGCTTGCCAACTTGTTTGCACCCCTAGGTATGGCTCGAGCTTGACAACTTGTTTGCACGCCTAGATATATGTTGTTAATTATTGTTGTAACTTCCCACTATGACCTATGTGACTAACTGTTATCATTACAGTCTTCCACTATGTTTTTCATAATCAACTAGCACTTTTATAACTACCAACTATGGCGATCTCTCCTTCCACCATGTGATAGAGTTTCATCCTTAGAATGCCCAAGTTAGAGAATCTCTTTAATTGGTATGTTTTCAAACTATAATAAAGTTATTTCTTATTGAACAGACCTTTAATTAAGCAAAATTTTTCCAAATCTTTTTTTTCTTTTTCCTCTCTCCTTGGGCCGTCCATCTTTGTTAAAAATAAATTAAATTTTAATTAATTAAATTTAAATGTCAAAAAACTACTAAAAAAATTCTCCTTATCTTTTTGCCTTGGCCTAAAATCCTTATTTAAGCGTATTAGTGAATTTTTTTCCTCTGTTGCTCTCACACCCTTAGTCAGTCCTTGCTACATTCAAACTATATTAGATCTCTTGCTTCAAGCGATTAAGTCTTCTCTCCTCTCTTTCTCTCATCCTCAAGCTTACATATTTCATCTTTAAGGTTCGGTAAATTATCTTCATTAGTTTTGTTTACCATCTACATCTACATATTTTCTTAAAGGTTTGGTGAGATTTGCTTCTTTTATGTCATGTAATTTGGCGCTTGAAGTTCATAATGTTTTGGTTATTTTAAAAGGTTTATGCTCTTACGTTCCGAAAACATACTTGTAATTTTCGGTCTTACACGGGCTTCCTCCTCGCACGAAGAAGCAGTGGATCTCTGTTCTTGCCGTAGGAAGCAGCAGAGATCATGGAAGTTAAGAAGCATGGTTGATATTACCCAAATAGCTCCTTAAAATATAAGCACATTTTTATCAAAAATAAAGAACTTCTCGAAATGAAAACCGGAATGATCCGCCGTATCACATGTTCCAGCATCATGGAAGGCATGCGAAGCATACCACCAGCTTTGGCCGTGCAACCAAAATTATTGGTAGAAAAAAGTTTATCAAACATAAAGTGCTTCCACTAACTACATAGTCTTAGTGCTGGGTTTCTTTCTGTTGCACATCTCCATTTTCTCATCCTATTTTCTACATCTTTAGTAATAAAATAAATAAACAACCATATTTTTCATAAGGTCACACGAAGACTATCACAAAAATTTCATCCCTTCAAGAAGGCACATTGAACTCATAATTGAAAGATACTTCGCGGACTACTAGTTCTCAAGAAATGTTTCTGGGGTTCACAAACCCATCAAGCGTGTCTACAGTCCAAGAGAGTCATTCTTCATCATAAAGCTGGTATATTTTTTTGTAAATTACATACAACATGCAAATCATTTAAACAATTTAAAGTAGTTTCAGAATATCATAATTTAAGATTTTTGAAGTACTCAAATCTCTAGCTCCGTTGGAGCACTGCTTGTTGTTATTTTACAACTGTGTAAACATCCAGCTAGCCTTAATTGTCTGTAACAAAGAGTT